GGGACATTCGTCCACCGTCCCACCGCACCGACAACTTACTGAAGTGGTTAGTGTTCTTGGATGGACAACAAGTTTGTCCTCCTGGGGACGTTCGTCCACCTTCCCACCGTACCGGCAGCTTTACTACACTGATTAGTGTTCTTGGATGGGGAACAATTTTGTCCTCTTGGGACGTTCGTCCACCTTCCCACCGCACCGACATCTTTACTGCATTGGTTAGTGTTCTTGGATGGAGAACAGTTTTGCCCTCTTGGGGACGTTCGTCCACCTTCCCACCGCACCGACAACTTTATTGCACTCGTTAGTGTTCATTGGTGGAGAATAGTTTTGCCCTCTTGGGGACGTTCGTCCACCTTCCCACTGCACCGACAGCTTTACTGCACTAGTTAGTGTTCTTTGGTGGAGAAATAGGTTCATCCTCTTTGGGACGTCCGCCCACCTTCCCACCGCACCAACAGCTTTATTGCTCTGGTTAGTGTTCTTTGGTGGAGAACATGTATACCCTTTTGGGGACATTCGTCCACCTTCCCACCACACCGACAGCTTTACTACACTGGTAAGTGTTTTTGGATGGAGAACAGTTATACCCTCTTGGGGACGTTCATGCACCTTCTCATCGCACCGGCAGCTTTACTGCACTGGTTAGTGTTCTTGGATGGAGAACAATTTGCCCTCTTGGGGACGTTCATCCACCTTCCCACCACACCGACAGCTTTTCTACACTGGTTAGTATTCTTGGATGGAGAACAGTTTTGCCTCCTTGGGATTCGCTGAGTTTGGGAGTTATGTCTATCAGGAACAAATTTTTTTGGGAGGCAGGAATTTAGCAAGATGGTGTCGTTGATAGGACTTCTTCACGTCCTTTACGCTTCACATGCCAGCACATATCCATCCATGTTGTGGGGGACGGACGTTCGATGGGCGTATGTCCTGTATCCCGACGGTCACTTGATCTCCAGTTTCCTCTTGTGGCCGTTCGGCCCAAGGAATCCTTCCGGTGTTTTGTGACTTGGATATAATCGGCGTCTCGGACCTCTGCTTTCTGGCGACCGTCCCTGCGCCATGTGAATGGTTCCCGGTTTGGCTGATTTTGGTTCTGAGGGGTCGGTCCTCTTGTGAACTCTCCGAGGTAGCCCCTCCAAATAAGTTCGTCAATGGCCACCCTCAGGTCGTTGTAATGATCCGTGTTGTGCCCTTCCGTGCGATGGTATTCGCAGTAGGCGTTGAGGTTCTTTCCCATCAGGCCTCTGGGGGCGGGCGGCTCCTCGAGCATCCCTTCATCCTTGATGGCCTCAAAGATCTGGCTTATCGTGGCCGCCAAGGGGATAAGTCCGGTAAACTCCTACCGGCCATCGGATGGAATACCTTGGGTTCCCCAAGTGGCGTAGTCATCGCTCGTCTTCATCCTTTTCATCGTCGGGGCTTCTGCCGACATCGACCCAGATAACCCGCTGCCTTTCGGGCTGTGGGGGCGGCCACCCCATCCCTCTGGGCGATCTCCTCTTCGACTGCCGCATATCTCTGTGCCCTGGCGAGCACCTCAGCATAATTGTCTCTGGGGTTCCTCTTCAAGTTCAGGTAAAGATCCCTGGTTACAAGTGTGTTGGTGAAAGGGTTATGCATGTCTCCTCCGTGAGGTTGTCGATCTTCAGGGTTTCATCCCTCCAACGTATGAGGAATGCAGAGAGGGTTTCCTCCTTCCTTTGGTAGACGTTCGTCAGCCAGCTGAAGTGCCTCTTCGGTGTGGAGTTGGAGACGAACTGCGCCATGAACTGTCTGGAGAGGTGTTCAAAGCTATCAACAGATCTGAGTCTGAGCTGCCCGAACCATTCCTGCACCGACCCCTTGAGAGTGCTGAAAAACAGCCTGCAGATGACCTCATCGGAGGCTCCTAGCATGGAGAGTTCTCCGTGGAATGAAAGTAGGTGGGCCTTCAGGACCTCCGCCGCCATGATCCTGGTAGAGAAAGGAGAGGATATGGCAATCCTTGGCTGAGCCGGTTTAGTTTATGCTCGTCAGTTGAGCTCGTGGATCTGCCTCTGGAGATCCATGAGCATCGTGTCTCGTGGGTCAGCAGCTGCGACCGTGGGGGTCACCAATGCCAAAGCATCTTGGGTACGCACGGCGTCAGAGCCATGCTGCCTGTTGGTGATGCGGCCCCCTGCCCCAGGCCGCTAACCATGGGGGTCTGTTCCCTGGCTACGTGATCATTGCGGGGCATCACTGGGGTGCGGTCCCAGACCGCATATTGTTGTGTTCTCCTGTAGGATATACGTCCGGTGTTTCCCGCCATATCTTGGGACCGGGCGTCCTTGACGATTTGCGTACGGGTCGAGGCGAGAATCAACATTCTCGCCCGTACGTTCACCGAGCATCTGTATGGAACGGAGATGGGAGAATGGTGTACGCTCTATTTTTGCGGAACACTCGCGTTCTGCCTCCCGTTCGTCCGCTAAACGTTGAATGATGTCTACCATTTCCCGCAGGACGTTCAGATCCCGTCGAACCTCATTGGGGATCATATCGGTGAGCACCCCGAAATCCCTACGAGACCACAAACTGCCGGAGCGGGCCCCTGCCGTCCGATTGCGACTCCCCCTACTGTGGGCCAGCCATTCGGACGGTTCCTAGGAGTTCCTCCCGTTGTTTCTTGCCATCTACCTTGTCTTAACTGTTTTTTGAGTGGTTTATGAGCTGAAAGCTTGGTTTTGGAAGTCTTTTTGATCAACTTCCCACAGACGGCGCCGGTGTTGAGGTTTATTCCTTCAACCCGTAGGCCCAACACGTGTCCTAAGGGTTTCGAATGGAAGAGTAAGAAGGAAAGATGAAGAAACAAGCAAGAAGAGGCCCAGTAAGAAGTCTTAGTACATTAAATTCTGTACGAAGGCCTGAGGCCGTTCGTCCCTAGCATACAAGACGTGAGACCGTTCGTCCCTAGCCTATGCTACGAGCTGTTACAATGCTATACTATTAGAGTGCTTAGCCCCCCCCACAATGAAATGAATGCTTCTATTTATACTACCAATGGGTAGTTGGATGCTTTGACGTGGCGGGCTATGGACCGCTTGACCCCAACCACCAAATCATCTACAATAAATGCGCTTCCCGCCAGGATCTTGGCTTCCTGCCAAGGGAGGGGACATTCGTCCTCATGAGCTTGCCTCCTCGTCCTGCTGGGATCTTGGCATCCAGCCAAGGGGAGGGGACGTTCGTCTCATGAGCTTGCCTCCTCGTCTCGCTGGGATCTTGGCATCCAGCCAAGGGGAGGGGACGTTCGTCCCATGAGCTTGCCTCCTCGTCCTGCTGGGATCTTGGCATCCAGCCAAGGGGAGGGGAAGTTCGTCTCATGAGCTTGCCTCCTCGTCCTGTTGGGATCTTGGCATCCAGCCAAGGGGAGGGGCCGTTCTTCCCATGAGCTTGCCTCCTCTTCCTGCTGGGATCTTGGCATCCAGCCAAGGGGAGGGGACGTTCGTCCCATGAGCTTGCCTCCTCTTCCTGCTGGGATCCAAATCCTGTCAGGCGAGCGTCTTGTGCTGCTCCTGGCCAAAGTCGTGCCGACGCTAGGAAACGTACGTCCCCTAGCCCTGTTGGGGACAGTCCTCTCCAGAATCCGCGGAAAGGTAACTCGTTGTCTTGTGCCTTTTGGGGACGTCCGCTTGGCGGCCCTTGAGGGTTTTATGGGCTAACCTCCGTTGGGCCATTAACCCAACACAAGTCCCCCACTTCTGATGTTCCGAGCGTGCGCGGGACATAAGGAAGTAGAATTGAACCCGACATAGCTCTCCAGCTAATACCCCTGGCGCCTCCCAAGTTGATGAGCCACTCTGTATATCCTGACGTACGTCCCCGGCAGCTACCTGCCTTTCTGGGTTTGGTATCTTGGGGCCGGACGTCCCCTGTGGGGGCGACACTCTTCTCTTCTCTTCCTTGGGATGTTCCGAGGGGGGTCTCACCAGGAGGCCCGGGTTTAGGGGACGGACGTCGAGTATTGTTACATACTATGTACATATGATACTTTTCCATTCACATGTTTATGATGCATAATATTATGCATTATACCCGATTAATTAATATTCCATAAAATGCAGAAATTGTTCTCTAATACGTCAACTTGATACCTCCAAGTCCGACTGGACAATCAATGTTCGTGTTACGCGCCTCTCATGTCATCAATCACAAAAGACAAGACAACTTAATTTGTTTAGACATGGTTCTAATTGATGAAGAGGTATACTTTTTATTTAAAATGCACTTTTAAACATTTTCAATGTGACAAAATGATAAGTAAAATGTAACATCTCACTATTAAAATTTAAAATTAACTATGCATACCATTCTACCAGAACATAATCAATTTCAACATAATCAGTGGATTCGATCAATTTTAGTGTTATCAAACGCGCTCTATATTAAACTGAGATGGGTTGTTTATGTTTTATCTATTAAGTCATGTCTAGATTAACACGTATGTCTGAGTTAAGATGTCTGATTAAGTGATATTTGTATTTGAGGCTATTTATTTTGTATGTTGAATAAATAGTCAATAAATAGTATTATTCTTAATTTATAGTGTCAATGAAAAACTTCGTTTATTAATACAAATCTATTCCACAATCAATTTGAAAAAATTAACAGAAAAAACGTCTCAATAAACTTCTTAATGAGAAGGACTGCTATATATTCTCTCTAGACTTATGGATTAACTTAGTTTTTTGATTGAATGATTAATTCATGCTTCCAATTAAGTCGTATGTAAACATAACTTAATAACTGGATGATTAAGTCGTCAATTGTCATTAAGTCTATTAAATTGAAATTAAACATTATAAACAACCTCTAAATTTATTTTTCTTTTTCATCACATTATATATAATTCCAAAAAATCAAATTTAAATTTAGCTAAATGAAATGAAAACTCAAATTACCTCTTTAACGAAAGTAAGTGAACTTATTTGACCGATGTAAAAATAGGATTTGAGTAGGTTGTTTGGGACTCTGCGGATTTATCGTCCCACAAATATTTCCTATTTGGATCGACCCTCAAAAATCTCACGTGGCCTTACAGTCCAGCCGCGATACAGATCTACGGCTCATATCTTTAATTAGCGCCTGGTCTAGAAAAGTCCTCTCTCCACCACGGGAGCTTTCTCAGCCTCCAGCCGCCTCGGTTGCAACCGCCGATCGACAGCATCTCCTATCTCCCTCATTTTGGTTCGATCCAACTTCTCTTTCTACATCTTTTCTCTATCCATGTGTATATATACGAATATCTATGTATAAAATATGGGCGCCTGTATCTCTATCTTGGTTGTCAAAGTGAATGTTAGGGACTGGACCATATTGACGAAGGAACATGATTTCGTTTTCTGGTTTCCGAATGGATGCTCTGGATCGAGGTTTTAATTACTTTTCCCCATTTTTTTGTAGGGTTATCGATCGTATTTATCCGTCCATAGACATTCTTTTGGATAAAATAAGAGAATCAATCTTAGGTATTGACCAGTAAAATCAGCTTTTTTACTTTCCATGTTGATTAATGTATGTGTCATGTAAGACATACCTATGACTCTTCATCGAATTTGGGTGATTATGTTTACATTAGTGGTCTGTGGTTTGATTGTTTCAGCAAAAAGAACCTAAAAGCTATTGTTTGTGCTGATTGGATAAAATAGATCTCTGTGGTTTGGTCTTCAAAGATGTTATCTAAGAAGGATAAGTTTTCGGGAGGATATGCTGCTGGTTTTGCCACTAATTATGAGTTGGAAGATTCTGGAAGTTCAGGTAGAATCGATACTGGTATGGGGGGTTCACAGGTTTCATCTGCACATAGAAGAAAGTGGGTTAATTTAAATTCCGCTTCTGATGATGGTTTTGCTGTCCCCCTCCAAGTCATACCTCTCTCTAAATTATCTTCATCTGAGAGGTGGAACTTAATACTGGAATTGAGATCTGAACTTGAACGAACTCGTATTCTCCAGAAGAAAATTGAGCATCATAGAACGAATACTGTAACTGCATCATCATGTAGTGACATACTTAGCTGTAACAATACTAAAAAACGACCCTCAGTTGGGACCACAAAAAAATCTTCAGGCTCGGGGAAGAAATCAAGCTCTAACTCTCTTGGACAGAAGCCCCGGGGGTGGAACCTTGGTTCTTCTGGAAGGTTTGAGCCTGCGAGACACGTTCCAGAACAATCAAATTTGAATGCTACGTTACTCAAGCAATGCGGAAACCTGTTGAAAAGTTTAATGATGCATCAGCATGGTTGGGTGTTTAATGAGCCTGTTGATCCAGTAAAGCTAAACATACCGGATTATTTTACTGTAATTAAGCATCCAATGGATCTTGGAACTATAAAGAAGAAGCTAGCTTGCGGTCAGTACTTAAGTCCACTAGACTTTCTTGCCGATGTGAGACTGACATTTTCCAATGCCATGACCTACAATCCACCAGGAAATCATGTCCATGTAATGGCTGACACCCTCCGAAAGTTTTTTGAAATGAGATGGAAACTTATTGAAAAAAAAATTCCAGTCACCGTCGCTGAATCAGCAGAAGTGAACTCTGGCCTGCATGAAGAAAGTGAAACAACAAAGCCTGTATCTTCTAAGCCAGTATCATCTTCAAAGAAAAGGAAAGTGTCTCCCACACATCACATAGTAGGCCCAGATCCACCTAAGCAGAGGATGTCTAATGAAGAGAAAAGTAGATTAAGCCAAGATTTGGCAGCTTCACTGGCAGATTTACCAGATAACATCATTGAGTTTCTCAAGGAACAAAGTTCAAGTGGAGCAGAAGTGGGAGAGGATGAGATTGAGATCGATATTGATGTTCTTAGAGACGAAACGTTATTCAAATTGAGAATATTATTAGATGACTTTTTGCATCAGAAACAAAAAACCAATGCGAAAGCAGAAGTTTGTGAGATTGAGGTAGTGTCTTATCTGATAATCTTCGCATTTTGAGCCAAAATATCCTCTTCTAAATAGGATTGATCTTGCTACCATGATGTTCTTTTTCAGCTGCAAAATGAATCGGGTTTTAGCAATTCATCCATGCAACTAGACAAAGGTTACTGATGTTTGAATTTTGCTTATATTATGCCTTGCCACATTATCTTCAATATTTCATTTTTACCCTTCTTAATATACAGGTAACGATCTTGCTGAGGAGGAGATTGACATTGGCGGGAATGAGCCTCCTGTCTCAAGCTATCCTTTGAATGAAATGAAAAAGGATAATGCTTTACAAAGTAATGAATGTATTAATGCACGGGGTCCAACTGGGATTTCAGGTTGAGCTTTGACACCTAAAAAATTGTGTATTTATTCTTATTGCTAGATACTATTACCTCCGTCCCACTCAACTTTGCCAACTTTATGTTGGGTGTGAAATTAGAAAATTAAAAACTGTGTTGTTTAAGTTTTTGCAGAGGAGAAATGAACTGAGCCACCAATACTTTTCTTTAAAGGAAAAGTGGCAAAGTTTTTGGGACAAACAAAAAAGGAAAGTTGGCAAAGTCTAGTAACACGGAGGGAGTAATGGATAGTGGTTGAAAAACGTGTACCTTATCTTTTGAAATGCTAGTTACAGTTAGTTTCTATTCAATGGGATGTTGAACATTGTCCCCGAATAACTTCTAGTGAGCGTTATATGGATAAATCCCGATTGTGCAAATATGTACAAGAAAAGTGTCAAATAGTTTAGTAGTTAGACTTCACGTTATCATGAACCAAATTATGTTTTTATTGGCTGACTTTGTTTGGATCACATGGCTCTAAATGTCTGAACTCTGAAACCGAACGTCATTAGCAACGTCTGTGACATTCTGATCACATGGCTCTAAATGTCTTGGACACCAGAACGTATAGTTTCTTTTGTTGTTAGGAAACTCTCAACAATGTGAAAGCATCAGTGTTGTTTTGGATTTAATACAAAATTGTGACTGTATTAGATTGATTTGTGTCCTTAAAGATAGCCTTCCTAAAAGTGTAGTTATAATCTTTTCTTTTGTTGTCAGGAAACTCTCAACAATGTGAAAGCATCAGTGTTGTTTTGGCTTTAATCCAAAATTGTATATGAGATTGATTTGTGTCCTTCAAGATAGCCTTCCTAAAAGTGTAGTTATAATCTTTTCTTTTGTTGTCGGGAAACTCTCAACAATGTGAAAGCATCCGTGTTGTTTTGGTTTTAATCCAAAATTGTATATGAGATTGATTTGTGTCTTTAATGATAGACTTCTTCAAAGTGTATTTATAATATTTTGTCAGTAAATGGGAGGGACTTGATAGTTTTTTCCAGGTAAAAATCACTTAAATTGCTAATTGGTGGAATGTTTTATGTCTTCTTTGTTATGATTTCAGATTCAGACTCGAGTAGCTCATCTGATGGCGAATCTGATGGACAAAAAGCTTCTGCTCTCACAAAGCAGGTATATTTGTTACCGTATACTGTCTACATGCGACAGTGATCATAAATCCATAACTGTTGGTCTATGTGCTTGCAGGATCAGGGTTGCCTTTCGGCAAGCATTCATGAGAAAGGTATTAATGGTTCGACTGAAGGACATTGACCCTCCCCAAGAAAACTCATTGACTAACCAACCACCTCAATCGCTTTTCAGAAAATGCACTGATATGCTGCTTTGTTAAAAAGCATCTGAAGTGTTTTGCTAGTATTAGAAGCAGGATGTCTATATTCTTGCCACACACTTTTCTTTGAAGTAAAAGTTTGGTTTCATCCCCTAAAAGCACACTTTTTTTTATAAATTTGTCGCCCAAAACTATTTCCCTAAAAAGCTCCTTCCGTTTTCTCATCCACTGTTGTTTTTTGTGTCGGGGCATTTTCTATTATTTCCAGAAAAGATGATATATTGATAGTTAAGTTGTATGATTTATAAAGTTGCATGTTCTAGGCATTGTTATTTTCTACTAATATCTATCATATGAATGCCTCACAACTATGTAACTTACAATGTTGGCTAGCTTGTCGTCTTCCTACTTTGAGTCCCATAGGGTCGTTTAAAGCCTGGAAATCAGAAATTAAGTAGGAAGATTAATGAGAGATTTAGAAATTTTGGAATTAAAAGATGGAAAATAAGATTGGCTCAAACTTCATAAACCACTTTAGAGATCATAATAAACAACAAAGACTACTCCCTCCGTCCCCCTAATATTGGGACGGAAGTGAGTGGTGTGGTTTTTAAGAAAAGTAGAATTATGTGGTTGATAATAAGTTGATAAAGTGGGAATAAAGTAAGAATGAATTAGAGCCACACAAATGGTACCAAATATGGTATGAGACAATAATAGGGGGACATCCAAAAATGAAAAAATGGGACAATTAAAGGGGGTGGAGGGAGTATATTTATATTAAAAAGGTACGAGATGAGCAATTGGGAGGATAACTTCTGGATTGTTAAATGGAGAGCGGTACTTTAAATAGTTTGATAGTTACACTAAGAAAGATAACAACAAAGAATGGGCTGAAACTATTAGCGGGGGTAGAAATTGTGGCAGTTAAGAAATTACACCCTTCCAAATATGAATTAGCCAATCCATTTGTTTACCATGATGTTACTAAAAAATCTAAATGCATGTCAGATCTTAGAAAATGTTGATGAACTTTAATGATCATTTTGTGTTTCCAAGGTAAAACCAATTGCGAAAAATTCATTCTTAACATATCCCCCTTTTCTACAATTTTCTCGCTTCTAAACATAATCATAATTATAATCATAACCATTGCTGTGTGCTAATTAATTTCATGTGTGCTCTCTCCAGATTCTATCAGTTTGTTTGATCAGGCTGAGCAAAACTCTCAACAGAAGCTGATGAGTTCTGTTGAATTTGATGGGCAGCAAGATGGTAAGAATGCAATGTGAGGGATGGTTCTATTTGTTCAAGTGGAACTGTTCTGCATGTAGTTAAAAAGTTCGTAGAGTCTACAATCTCATCATCAATCATTTGACATTTTAGGGGAGATGCGTCAGAATGATAGGCCAGCATCTCCTGAGAAGCTATATAGGGCTGCTTTATTAAAGAACCGATTTGCAGATACAATTTTAAAGGCTCGAGAAAAGACACTCAGTCAGGTTGGTTATTTCACCTGTGCTTCTTTTTTCTGTGGTCATGTTCCATCATGATATATATGGTTATTTTATGGTATCAAATGAGCCACGACTTTAGTAATTAGGATTTTTTACTTGGACTGTAATTTGCTGGTTTGGTCTGTTTAAGTCTGGTCTGGTCTGAACTAGTTTGGTAAACGTCTAGTCTCTCTGTATTTTGTAACTACAGAAGTCTAGTCTGGTCTGTTTAAGTCTAGTCTGTTTAAGTCTAGTCTGTTTAAGTCTAGTCTGGTTTGGTCCGTTTAAGTCTGGTCTGGGACTGAAAACAATCCAAGTAAAAACATCCTTATTGCAAGTTATGGAATCCGCATGATATTTTCCATGTCATGAGAAAATAACTCCCTCTCCCAATAAGTCATATTTTATAACCTTTTTTGCCCCAAAATAGATGCATGTTTAATAAAAGAATCTAATTTTAATTTAATCTGATGTTTTTTAAATGTCTAAAACAAGTCGAGTATGATATGTTTAGTTTAACAAGTAAACATATTGTATGATAAAAAATGCTAAAATATTATATCTAAGCTTTTGAAAGACAAAAGTATAAGTAGTCTTCTTTTATCCCAAAATGTTACTAGTCTACTACAACAACAAACAACAACATCCAAGCCTTAGTCCCAAAAGATATTGGGGTCGGCTAACAGGAATCGATACATGATATCACCACTGAAAGGAAAAGAAAGAAAATAAAGATAAAAAAGATAAGCTATTATAAAAAGAATATAAAAAGAGATGAATATACATAAAAATGATAAAATAAAAAGGATATCCCAAAATGTTACTATCATTCTTTAAATAATTTAAATTTCTTCTCCATGTAATACCTACCCAACCCCTGCCCCACCCCCTGCTTCCAGCAAAGGTTACCAATCGCTGGAAAAGTTCACGAGACCCCCCTGTTTTTCATTGTTTTTTGAAACTGTCAGAAAAGCCGCAGGAAATTTTTCCGTCAATCACAGTGACATTCCACGGTGGCAGTGGCACTGGTGGTGGCAGCAGTGACACCGATGGAGGCGGCAGTGGCATCGGCACATTGGCATAAAAGAACTGCTAGTGACATAAGAAACCGGGAGTGACATTTATGGGTTTTCAAATTTATTACCTTGTTAGTCACATTTTTGTCCATATGTGAAAGTAGTAGCCACTTTTTTGTTAGCCCCTTCAAAATATACTCCATAGTCACTCCTTTTCCGAATCAGCTTTGGCACATTCAATTTTTCATTCCAAAACCATCTCTCTCTCTTTTGTGAATGAATTTAAACTGCGAAGTGCAAAATTTCATTATGTAGACTACTGTGCCAAAGGCAAATGAGTTTGACGGACTGAAAAGTAATGGAGTATGTAGGATCATTTCATTTTCATTTACCCCAGTGCCGCAAAGGCTCCCACCTATGGTGGGGTAAGGGGGGGTCGGATGTACGCAGTCTTACCCTTGTACTAAAGCACAGAGAGACTGTTTCCGGATGACCTATAGTGAAAATCCCGTCCAAAATTGCATGGACTGACCGCTGCTTCATAACAAAGAAGCGCAGACAGGTTAGTGAGCCATTTTGCTTTATTCCATCATAATCTCAAGCCAAAAAATAATGAATCTTTGGCTCCATTGAAAATGATGGAAAAATGGAGTATGTAGGATGAATTGATTTATAAGAGTTGTACTTTTCTCTAAATCTATTGCAACATTTTGGATGGATGGTGTACCCATGATTATGTGTTCAGAGTATCATTTCATTATTCTTATGAAAGAAGGTTGTAACTTCAAAGACATCTAACCAAAAATTGATATTTCCAGCTTACTTTGTTGGCTTATGCATTGTGTCATGATGACTATTTTTTGGAAATGAGTTGATACTGCCAATTTCATGCCTCAGACAAACTCCTAAAGAGGTCAGGGTTAAGGTGTGCTAGTGATGATGATTGCTCATAGTAAACTTGTAATTGGTTTGGCAGGCTGAGAAGGGGGACCCGGAGCAACTCCGTCGTGAAAGGGAGGTACTTGAGATGCAGAGAAAGAAAGGTACATCCACTATCAAGTCCCAAAAAGAGTAAATAGTACTTCACTATGATGTTTTATTTCTATAGAATTATATATTTGACTTATGGAAGTAAACAATCTAATAATCTATATTGCACTGTTACCCACCAGAGAAAGCTAGATTGCAAGCAGAAGCCAAAGCTGCTGAGGAGGCTAGAAAACGGGCAGAAGAGGAAGTTGTTGCTGAGGTCAAGAGAAAAAGGGAATTTGAAAGAGAAGCTGCAAGGCAAGCATTGCTCAAGGTAAGATGATGGATAATATGTACTTTTGAATTACTCTTAGTTTGGGAAAAAGGTTCTCTGCATAATACTAAAACTTAGCATTTTTTCAAAATAAGACTGCCTATGTTTTATTCCTTTATCAGGTCTTATATAATCTTTAGTTTGTGAAGTTTAGTAGGGCTTTAGCTTCAAGGGTTTAGGTTAGCATTTCTAGGCTTTAGTGGTGGGTGGCCATAGTACTGCAACTGTTCGGTGGTGACTGGAAACTTTCTGGCAGCAGTATGGTAGCGGACGGTGGCTGCTCGACAGTTGTAGTTGCTCTCTGTACTGCCCTTCTGGTGGCTGTCCAATTTCATTTTCATTTCATTTCATTTTCATTTCATTTTCATTTCATTTCATTTCATTTTCATTTACCCCAGTGTCGCAAAGGCTCCCACCTACGGTGGGGTAAGGGGGGATCGGATGTACGCAGTCTTACCTTTGTACTAAAGCACAAAGAGACTGTTTCCGGATGACTCATAGTGAAAATCCCGTCCAAAATTGCATGGACTGACTGCTGCTTCATAACAAAGAAGCGCAGACAGTTTAGTGAGCCATTTTGCTTTATTCCATCATAATCTCAAGCCAAAAAATAATGAATCTTTGGCTCCATTGCAAATGATGGAAATTTCTGGTGGCTGTCCAATGAAAGTAATTTATTTAAGGTTGCACAATAAAGGGTTTTTGGATAATCTAATACACTAAAGTCTTACTTTTGTGTGCAGTCCTATTCAAGGAAAAAATGACATGATCTGCTCCTATTTAAGGACATCTTCCTACTTTAGTTGGGGATATTTCAGAGGGGATGTAAGTGAAGTGATTATCGTGGATCTAGTCGTAGATCCAACTAGATAAACGATCATCCTTTAGAGGACAGCAGGCCACTATAATAATAGAGCATGAATATGAGCAGCAGGCCAAACAAGAAAATGAGCATCCAATAGAGGAAAATGAAAATTGACCATCCAATAGAGGAAAATGAGTGGCCCTGAAGAATTTTACAAAATGTAATTAACTTTAGACGTACAACTGGACTTGCGAAATAATTTGTGGGAAAGAAGGGGAAATATATAATTTTATTAATTCATTCGGATATATAAATTGATGAAAAACAGGTGAAGTAGAAAGGCACGACTTCACTAGATATGTTCTATCTAGATTTAAGCAAGTCTCTCTTTGTAAACTTAGTTGTGAGTTGTGACAAATGTTATTTCCATGGAAAATATATTTGTGGGAGAAAGTACTGTCTAAAAGGAAGTACTATGTTTCACCTCCAATGACCCAAACCTGTTTTTGAAACGCTAAATCATTCCCACAAAATTAAAATAACTGAAGGCAAAGTGTAGTGTTGTTCAGTGTCAGACACCATAGATATTTGTGGAAATCATTTCCGCAAACAAGTGTGACTAAAACAAGAGATAAATAAATTAGTAAAAAATGACCTCTCTTTGGAATTTGGATATGGTCCATGTGGATAGTTTCTTGAGCTATCTTTTGGGTTATACAGATGGAACAGACGGTCGAGATAGATGAGAATTCGAGGTTCCTTGAAGATTTGGAGATGTTGAGGGTGGGCTCTGCAGAACAAGTGCTCAGCCCGCTAACTGAGACCAGCCCACAACTTTCACAGGATGGTTTAGGCAGTTTCAAATTTACGGGCAGTAATCCTCTGGAACAACTTGGTCTGTATATGAAGGTAGATGACGAATTTGAAGAATGTGAGCCGCCCCCAACTTGCGGTGCGACGAAAGATACAAATGACGTGGAGGAAGGAGAGATTGATTAAGTGTGGGGCATGTTTGGTTCTCCGGATGCCCTCTCTCACCTACAGGGATGAAACATCCCCGGGTCATGTCATACCGCACGGAACCTGCAAAAATTCCATGGTCCTGAAATGGATGTATATCAATTTGAATACATGTGTTATGATACTGGTAAAAAAAATGCCAAGTTTCACTTCATGTTTACCAGTTACCACCAAGGGCATTTTAGAGGCGAAGTAACGATTTCACATTATGTTAGTGTTGTTATGGGATAAGTGACTTTGAAATAATGCAAGTGCATAACAATAATTTTAGCTTTAAAATGAAGCCGGTGGTGAATTTGGACGTATGTGACGGTCTTGTAATTCTCATAACTATACCTCAAGTGACAAAGGGGTGTTGCTACCAGTAGCCACGGCTGAAAAATTTAATCCAAATATTATGATCATAGAGTAATATGTAAATGTAAAAAATGAAATATAGGAACATTAAAACATCTATTTTGGAAGTTTCATATCCTAAAATTACATGCTATGAAATTGATATAAGAAGGTTGAAATATCTATTTAGGAAGTTTAATATCCTAAAATAATATATAGATTTTGAAATATTCTCACCCATTCGATGTACGACTGAAATATTTAAATCAAGGATTATAAATCAAATTGTAATATATAAATGTGTAATTAATATAGGTTGTAGAGTTTCAAAACTTAAAATATAACCTATAAAAATTTAGATTTGAAACAAATGTTTATAAGCAAAATTTGTTGTTTCATTGGTCATGACCTCGGAAACCGCAAATTAAAGTTATCCATGACTGGAAATAATCTGACATGAGAAATATTGTTTTCTTTTAAACTTGAAAAGAAGTGTAAGCCAAACACGATTAATGATAACTCTTGAAGTAACATTGGTTAACATGATTAATGATCACTTTCTCTTCAAAAAACAGTAAGATCTGAGTAACAAGCAGAAGCAAATCTACGAAACACAAATTGAATTCTACTTTCGGATGAATTGATCGATGAAAGTTCCTTCATCTCTTCTACAATCATCCGTAATTAATATTATGCTGCAGACTCAAGATTTTATGAAATCTGATTTAAGCTTCAAATTTATTGGAAACTCAAAACGGTAGCAAAATGAGCACTGACAATTTAAGCCTTCCGATCCGTTAAATCGTAATTCGTAAAAGTATGCTAACGGTTCTTTGTTAGTTGTCTCTTAAATTTAATTTAATACTCCGGTGTCAAGCTAAAGCGATTAACTTAAGTTTGGTAGCTATTGCTTTGGAGTACGTCTGAGCTACTACTTGGTAAAGATGATGGCTCAAGTATACTAACTACTCTTTAATAAATTTTATTCTTCATCAAGCCAAGCATCTACAATGGCGCAATCGCTTTAGCTCCTGAGATAGCCCGCCAAGCTTCCTCTCTCATTCATATATCACCTAATTCCATATGCTTAGATACTAATTTTATGGAATCCCCATTGTCATTTAATTTAACTGAAAATCCTTGCAAGAGAAAGAGAGAATTAGAATCATCGTCCAATTTGTGACATCAAATGTTGGGCCACATATCACGAGATCGAATGATAAGACTCGTGAAAGATGGCATTCTTCCAAATCTCGATTTCTCAGATTATGACAAATGTGTGAAGTGTTTGAAAGGGAAATTGTCTAAGAAAACTAAGAAAGGCGCCACATGAAGCACCGGTTTGTTAGAATTAATACACACCGATATTTGTGGGCCTTTTCCCGTTTCCATAAGCGGTCATAAGTCCTTTATTACTTTCATAGACGATTATTCACGCTATATGTACCTATATATGATTAAGGAAAAATCTGAATCACTAGATATGTTCAAGGCTTATAAAGCTGAAGTTGAAAATCAACTTGATCGAAAAATCAAAGTAGTGAGATCGGATAGGGGTGGAGAGTTCTATGGTCGATACACTGATATTGGTCAAGCTCCTGGATCTTTCCATGAATTTTGTAAAGATCACGGGATCATCAACCAATATACCATGCCTGGCACCCCTCAACAAAATGAGGTTGCCGAAAGGCGGAACATGCCTCTTATGGATATGGTCCGAAGTATGTTGGATAACTCTAATCTTCCCCAATTCTTATGGACTGAGGCCTTAAAAACAGCAACCCACATACTGAATAGAGTACCATCTAAATCTGTCCCTAAAACTCCATATGAGCTTTGGACGGCAGGAAACCTAGTCTACGGTACCTAAAAGTGTGAGGTTGTCCGGCTGAAGCAAAAGTTTATAATCCTCAATTGAAGAAACTTGACATGAGAACCATTAGTTGTTCCTTTATTTGTTATCCCGACAGATCTAAGGGATATAGGTTCTATTGCCCATCTCATACTATCCGAATTGTCGAGACCCGACATGCCGAATTCCTTGAGAATACTAACTTTAGTGGGAGTAGTAATGGTTCAAACATTTGTGATGAACTTCAAGAAGGTAGTGGAATGAATCCCCTTTATCATACTGCCCATTCCACCCAATTCCTCACTTGAAAATCATAGTGAAAGTCATACGCCTCATAATAATGATGCAACAAATCAAGAGGCGAATGAAACTCCAATCAATGTTGAACCAACTCCGGCGGTTACTAATGAAATTCCAAAAAATCAGCAACCCTTAAGGAGATCTCAAAGGGTCAGACGCCCCACAAATTTTGATGAATATTTGATATATTTGAATGAAGAAGCCGACTTTGATTTAGGGAAAGTCGTAGATCCTATATCTTTCCTTGATGCCATTAATTGTGACCAATCGACTCATTGGAAAGAAGCCATGAATGAGGAACTTCTTTCCATGGAGAAGAACAATGTTTGGGAACTTGCTGAATTACCAAAGGGTCATAAGCCCGTTGCAAGCAAGTGGGTCTTTAAGACTAAATTAGATCCAAAGGGAAACATTGAAAGATACAAGGCAAGATTGGTTGCTAAGGGATACACTCAAAGGGAAGGTGTAGATTATCAAGAGACCTTTTCACCGGTCTCTCGAAAGGACTCCCTAAGGGTCGTTATGGCTTTAGTAGCTCACTTTGATCTTGAGCTACATCAAATGGGCGTCAAAACAGCCTTCTTAAATGGAGATTTACACGAAGATGTTTATATGATTCAACCAGAAGGTTATGTTTCTAAGGGTCAAGAACATCTAGTGTGTAAACTCAAGAAGTCTATTTATGGGCTCAAGCAAGCATCTCGACAATGGTACCTCAAATTTGATGAAGTCATGAAATCAAATGGCTTCATTAAAAACAAAGTAGATCAATGCACTTACCTCAAAATGAGTGGGAGCAAATTCATCATACTTGTGTTATATGTTGATGACATTTTATTAGCAAGTAGTGACTTGGATTTATTGCATGAAACAAAACGCTTATTATTTGGCCATTTTGACATGAAAGATCTAGGTGAAGCTTCTTATGTAATAGGCATTGAAATTCACCGAGACAGAGTCAAAGGGACGTTAGGCCTGTCCCAAAAGGCATACATTGAGCGCACTTTAGAACGTTTCAACATGCAACAATGCTCTCCATCAGTTGCTCCAGTAGTTAAGGGAGACGTTTTTGGGTCATTCCAATGCCCAAAAACCGAGGTTGAGAAAGAGCAAATGAAACTCATTCCGTATGCTTCCGTAGTTGGAAGTCTGATGTATGCACAAGTTTGTACTCGTCCAGATATCGCATATGTATATGGTATGTTGGGTAGATATCAATCTAATCCAGGATTAGATCATTGGAAAGCCGCTAAGAAAGTTTTGCGGTATCTTCAAGGGACTAAGGAGTACAAATTGACTTATCAGAGGTCTAATGATTTAGAAGTGATTGGATATTCCGATTCCGATTTTGCTAAGTGCAAAGACGATAGGAAGTCTACTTCGGGATACATTTTCTTGTTGTCACGTGGGCCAATATCTTGGAAAAGCCGCAAGCAAAGACTTACGACTACTTCAACAATGATGGCCGAATATGTTGCGGTGTACAACGCAACATGTCATGGGATGTTGTTAAGGAATCTTATCAAAGGATTCAAAGTAGTGAATTCCGTCTCAAGACCATTAAGGATTTATTGTGACAATTCCGCAGCCGTGAGCTTCTCAAACAATAATAGTTCAAGTGGAGCGGGATTGTTCCTCGATACAAAATATTTGTTCGTTCGAGAAAGAGTGGAGGAAAACGAAATTTGTATCGTACACATCAGCACAAATGATATGCTAGCAGATCCTCTCACTAAAGGACTTTCGCCCAGTATTTTTCAAAGACATGTAACTAATATGGGCTTGATCAAAGATCCTGTTTAGGAAATTATAGCGCAGTGTCTGATTAATTATCTTATGTATTAATTTCAAGTACTTGATTTAGAATACCTTCTGATGGAGTATATGGCCCGGGAACCCCCGGCCCATAGACTCCTACTACTCCAGCGAAGGCCCAACAGGCCCAGAAGGCCCAACAGGCCCAAATCACAGCGCCCAGAGTACCAAGCAACCCGCACTACGCGCCAGGGGTGCCTTCGGCCCCCTGGCCGAAGGTTCTAAACTCTCACAGAACGGGTTTCTCAAGCAAATTAAGAAACTGGGAGAAAACGGCGAAAACAGTAGCCCTCGGCACTGTGAGCCCTCGGCACCAGGGTGCCATCGGTTGGAGGAGCCCTCGGCTACTGCTCTATAGCCGAAGGCATCTCACTCGACAAGATATCCGCCTCACATGCGTACAGATCACCGTACCCTGCACAGACGTCCCATCCAACAGCCGCATTAAATGCGGCCACATGCGGCTGCCAGCGCCAACCAGTTGAGGTGACCCCTCGGCCAATGAGCGCTTGACACGTGTCCCTATCCGGCATTTATTGCTACTATAAATAGCACCCCATTTCCCCATTTGTAATCACGCTGAAAACGCTCCACATTTATAACACACTCTCTCTCTCTACATTTGCTTGCTCTGACTTCTCTCTAAGTTATTCCCCGCAATAACCCTTCGGATATATACCCCCGGGTAGACTATCCATCATTTGGTGCTCTCGTTGAGAGGTCGAACAATCGAGTAAGAAACCCTCCCCCTTCGCCAAACATTAGCCCTCTACCAAAATGGTGAGAACAACACGTGCCAACTCAAAGAACGTAGAAGACAAGAACCTGGCCCTCGGCGACGTCAACGCCCCCGAAGCCTCTCACAGGGCTCCCGAGGGCGGTGTCATCGCTGGGCTGGAACAGACGGCTGTCGACCTACGCCTTCAGATCCAACAAAATGCCCCCGATGCCCGCCTCGGCATCGAGGCCAAGAAGAAAAACCGGAGCGATGACCAAGTCAGCCCTCCGGTTCTCACCATCGACGTGCAATCGGCACTCTCCGCCTTCATCCAAACGCTCACTCAGAACCCGGGTGCCTTCGGCACCATGGC